TTTGCTGAATATTTATGCATGAAAAGTTTGCACGCTTTTTCTCACTGTAGCGACCTTGAGTTTTAAAGATATGATGCATTATTATCAACCTGTTCCTGGAGTTAAATTTGATCAATGTTTTTTAATGTGTTTTTTAAAAGTCTGAATTTTGCAGCATCCTGCGTCCGATTTATTTAAGTGTGTGTTTGCTGTTGTACAGTATGTTTAAAATTGTGTAATGCACGATGAGATTGAATGAAAACTAAATTTTTATGGTTTGTAGACCCTCTTTCAATTTGTGTTTGTGGGATTTTTTTTCAGTTTTCTGATCTAGTGGGTGAAAATGGTGCGTCTGATTACTTAGTAAAGTAAAATAACACATATGTTTTGAGGAATCATTCATGTCTGGAGCACAAACACTGCCGGAATCAATCTTAAATATGAACAATATTAATAGTTATGCTTGTAAATTAGAAATAAGATGTTAGAGTGAGATGTGTTGAGCTCTGCTGCTCCCTTTAGGACTAACATGGAACTGCAGGCTGTGTGTGTGTGTGTGTGTGTGTGTGTGTGTGTGTGTGTGTGTGTGTGAGTGTGTGTGTGTGAGAGAGAGATTGTGTGTGTGTGTGTGTGTGTTTCTGAGGTTGGAGTGAAGTTGTGTGGTTTCTTGGTGTAAAAATATAATTCCATTAAAGGTTTGTGGGAGATGTAATGATGTGTAAAGAGCCGTTCGAGGAGGACATTTATTACGTAAATGAACGAGGGTGACTGGAACGAAAGGAATTTTCACATACTTTTCTCTCTCTCGCTTCTTCTAGACGATTTTAAAAGAGGGAAAGTTAATGAAACAGACAAATTTTCAGCGCTGGAAGAGACGTTACTTTAAACTGCGGGGAAGAACGCTGTACTACGCTCAGACGGCCAAGGTCTGTCTAAACAACACACACACACACACTTTTAATTAGCTGTGTGAATTAGAGCATACCATAAACTTCTATTACTTCTATGTAAAGCTTTTTATAATTAATACACACTAAGCCAAACAAAAGCTGAGACAAATCCAGCATTAAGACATTAAAAGACAGCATTAAAATACGAGTCTATAATTCATAATAACGCTTCCTCCAGTGAAAAAGTGCATCTGCTGTTGTCTCTCACATCAAAATCCAGCCACATATTTGTTTAGGTCTGTGCTTGATCTGTGCAGATTTCTCTCCTGATTCACACCAGACCACTTTTTCACTGGAGGAAGCGTTATTATAGATTATGGACTATTTTAGCCAGAAATTAAAGTATAAACGTCTTAATGCTGGACTTGTTTCAGCTTTTGTCTTCTCAAGATGTTAACTGATGGACTGGAGTGCTGTGGATTACTTGTGGATTATTGTGATGTTTTTATCAGCTGTTTGGACTCTCATTCTGACGGCACCCATTCACTGCAGAGCATCCATTGCTGAGACACTGATGCAATGCTACATTTCTCCAAATCTGATGAAGAAACAAACTCATCCTAATCTTGGATGGCCTGAGGGTGAGGACCGTTTCAGCAGATTTCCATGTTTGGGTGAACTATTGCTTTAACGCAGGGTTAAGCGTAGTGAAAAGCATTAGATTAGTCTGAAACTGATAGTTCTTTAGGTGCTTTATTAGGTTAGTGTGGCAGCTGTGTGTTAAAGTGTTAAAACAGGATGTGTTCAGCTTATGTAACTGAACCCCAAAAGCTCTTTGAGTCGTATGACACGGTTCAGCTGGTGTTACGACAGCGCTGATAATGTGTGTTTGTGTGAGGGATAAAAGTGGCTTCAAGATCTACATCAAAGACATTAACCAGACACACACTGACTCTCTGTGTGTGTGTGTGTGTGTGTGTGTGTGTGAGTCTGTCTCTCTTCCGCTGCGTGTCAGCTGATCCGTGTGTCTGTATATTTTAGTTGGTTTTATGAGGCAGCTTGTGTACTCTGTGAAATGAATAATATGATCGGTTTATATGTGTGTGTGTGTGTGTGTGTGTGTGCTGGTCGAGGAAAGGCGTGAGTTATTTTTATCCATGTGGGAACAGAGGGTCTTTGTCAGCAGCTGGAGGAAACGGACTGGGAAGTTGATGTAGACACACACACACACACACACACATACACACATACACATACACACACACATACACACACACACACACACACACACATACTTGTATTTGTGGTTTACGGGGACTCTCCATAGGCGTAATGGTTTTTATACTGTACAAACTGTATTTTCTATTGCCCTACACCAACCCTACACCTAAACCTACCCCTCACAGGAAACTGCTGCAAGTTTTTGAATTTCATAAAACACCGTTTTGTATGTTTTTTAAGCCTTTTGTTTTACGGGGACACAGGAAGTGTCCTCATAAACCATGTTTACGTTGTAGTACCCATGTCATTATACACATTTGTGTCCTCATAAACCATATATACCTGTACACACATACACACACACACACACATGCTATTTTAGGCCTTTGAATGCTTGTTGGTTTGGCTTTTGTGATATAGCTGAAAAAGTTTGAGTTCCTGACGTTTCAGGCCACTAGTGAACGATTCTATTTTCAGTATAAAAATGTAGTTGATAATATCAGTTTGCATGAATTTCTGGTTTGTTTTAGGTTTTTTTGGTCATTTTATTAACAGAGCTGAAATGAACAAATGTCTTTCTTTCATCTAAATCCTTTAAACTCCTAAAACCTTTCTTTTTAGGTTTAAATCTGGTTTTGAATCCCTGATTTTTAATGTGCTCCCAGACTTTTAAAGTGTATCTCAATAATTTCCATTTAATTGTATTTGATATTTACATACTTACTAACAAATGTATTAATTAATTAATTAATTTATTTACATAAAGGGCTTTAAATGGGTTGCAAAAGAGATTCAAAATATTGGTAAAACTTACAATAAGGTTTCATTTGTTAACATTAGTTAATTATATTAGTTAACATGAACAATGAAAAATATTTACAGCATTTATTGATCCGAGTTCATTTTCATGCATTTTTACAATTAAAAGTTAACATTAATTAATGCACTGTGAACTAACATGAACAAACACTGAACAACTGTATTTTTATTAACTAACATTAGCAAAGAATAATTCACGCTGTAGAAGTGTATTTCTCATTTTTTCTCAAAAAAATGTATTGTCCTTTAGTTCATGTTGGCTAATGCTTTAACTGATGTTAACAAATAAGATCTTTTTGCAAAGTGCATTTAAAATCTCGATAAAAATAAACAAACAAGGCACTTTTTCACACTGGCTGATTTAACAAGAATATTTCAGCATTTTTATTTATATAACAATACATAAAGGTATACACTAAACATGAGGAATGCAAGCCTCTGTGGACATTTGTGAATAATAATGTAAACTATTTGTTTGACTCACTCATGAACTGACGCAAACTGAAATGAATTGATCTTATCTACTTTTTTGCTGCTCAAATGCTATTTATACATCTCTTAACACACTCTCTTACTCATGAGTAGCTGAAAATATAAACGTGAAACTAATCTAATGTCACAGTATTTAGGTGAAATTAATGGCCAATAAAAGCCTGTTAAAGGAATAGTTCATTCAAAAATGAAAATTTGCTGAAAATGTCCTCATTCTCAGGCCATCCAAGATGTAGATTTCTTCATCAGATTTGTAGGAATGTAGCATTGCATCAGTGTCTCAGCAATGGATGCTCTGCAGTGAATGGGTGCCGTCAGAATGAGAGTCCAAACAGCTGATAAAAACATCACAATAATCCACAAGTAATCCACACCACTCCAGTCCATCAGTTAACATCTGGAGAAGACAAAAGCTGAAACAAATCCA